GGAAGTGGTTTTCAGCATGACACTGTTCAAACTTCAAACATGATAACTTGAGTATGAAAGGCAATGGGGGCAGTTATATTCACATAGCCTAACTTTTATTGTTGTAACTTCAGTTTCGGAGTGGAGGTGGGTGCAAGATTTCGGTGGTGCAGTGGATTCTCGGGTCACAGCATGCGTTGATTTCATTTGTGGTTGTATAGTTCATCAGCTTCTGCTTCTGGTTCCTGATGGTGTGTAAGCTTGGTTGGGTATATCTTGCAATAGCTATCTGCATGAACTCGAGATTGTTAACTTGCTGCCTTTGTTTGGCTGTTTTTGTTTGTCTTTTTTTGGCGCGGCCGTAGCCGCGCTGACCATGTATGTTTCTAATGCTCGAGAATGTTTTCCCGTCGGGGTGAAACAGTCTAAGTGGGTCCATGGGGGATTTTTGTTTCAATTCAGGAGTCTCCCATCCCTCCCCCCCCCCCAACCCCCCTCCTTCCCTCCCCCTTCCTTTTTTCTGTCTTCCTTCCTTTGTTCTAACATCTAACTTCGTTACTGACACTCATACTTAGCACATTCTCCCTCTTTCCCTCCTTTCTTGAGGCAGGGGATCGCCATCTCTTTGATCATCTTCATGTTTTCTTTTTTTCTTAAAGGAAACAGAACCTTGATCATCTCCATGTTGATCGACAGCGTGCAGCTTTTATTTGCTCCTTGACCTGTGGTGGTGAGTGTGCTCTCTTTTTCATCCTTTTGTTTTCTTCTGAGCTTACTTTCCTGTCTGCTGTTTTTTGTTGACATGTCCTCCAATGACCCAATCACTTTTTTTTTGTTGATTACATCATTACAACATATAACTCGGCAACAGGCTGGACCAGATGGATGGCTCTTGAGAAAGTTTGCTGAAGTGGCACCGTATCCAGATGGACAGATTGTTCCTCAGGTATGACGGTTTTTTTTTTTTTTTTTTTTTTTTTTTTTTTTTTTTTTTTTTTTNTTTTTTTTTTTTTTTTTTTTTTTTTTTTTTTTTTTTTTTTTTTTTTTTTTTTTTTTTTTTTTTTTTACCAGGTATGAGACTTCAATTTTTCTAATTTTCTTTTTTGCTTTCTCAAAATTTGGGCTGTTTCTCGATGTGTGTACATCCTCCTTCAAGGAAGTAATCAATGCTGTCTTCTGGGCCTCCACGCCATAAGGGGGAGGAGCGTGAGTGAGTAACCATTGTACTATCTTTGACTTGAAGGGGGAATAGGAACCGGACTGATGCTCCCCAGAATGGATATATGGAGCCAGAACCGTAAGGTTCTGTTTAAAAAAACAAAGAAAAGTAGTCGTGCTAATCTTCTCTGTATCATTCCAGTTTTTCCGGATGTTCCTAAGTACTGCTTCAACTTATAGTCTTATACTTAACGCTAGACAGATTTCCTTGCCTTTTTTCTTTCTTTCCTTTCTTTTGTAAGGAACAAGCCCTCACGGGGCCCTATCAGACATCACATGTTCTGGGCAAAGGCCCCCAGCAAGCCAAGTGCCCGCCCTAAGTGAAGGCGGGCCTGAATATTCGTCAAAGACCAAAATTCGACACTTTCATATGTGGGTATTCAGGCTCTTGCAGCACGCCATTTGGTTGAATGGACGCGCAAGCCTCACTAAGCTGTGTCGTACAGTTGGCCCAGGCCTTGACAGTTGCGCCTGGGCACATACACACAAAGCAGGGCCGATACATTGAGAGGCAGGCCCTCGGCCTAGGAAAAGCAGAACTGTCGACGCACCTATCTGGGATCCCCGCACAGATGCAGCAAACAGCCCAAGTCCAGAGACTCAGGCCGTGCCCAACTGTAAATGGGGCCCAGGCCCTCAACTGTAGTCTCGGGCCTGGGCGCAGGGACTGAGGCCCAACTGGAAGCTACTGGAAGCTTCCAGCCAGGCCACACGCAGCATCCAGGAGGCTGCCACTTCCATAAAGGAAGTGAGGCAGGCATTCTGGCCTGCGTAGGCAATGCGGAAGTGCTGCTGCGCTACTGCTTGATGCTGCGCTGCGGCCAAGGGCGCTGACGGGGCGCTTAGAGGTAAAGTGGGCCGCTGCAGGGCAGCGGGGCACAGGCAGCCATAGCCGGGCTGCTGGGCGCCAGGGGGGTACAGCGGGCGATCTGGTGGTCTTCAGGGAAGGAGGCGAGTGTGGGTTCTCAAGGTCTGATGAGGGCGACGAGATACGTACCTGGTGCATGAAGAGAGGTCGGCTATGGTGTTGACATCATTTACACTGGTCTTCGGGAGTCGAAGTGACCCTGTTCCGTGAGCACAGCTGTAGGTAGGATGGTAGAGTAGAGTAGGCTGGGGCGCTGGGCGCCAGACAGAGAGGAACGACTTTGGATACTGTCTTGGTGTGGTCTACGGGCTTGGACATTGGCTCATTACTTCATTGTATTGCTCTATTTGGATGGATTCACGGTGCTATTGTGCTCTCTGCTTGTGCACGACTACTCAGACATCTGTGTGATTTCGCAACTTGGTTTTCTGTATATCGTTCACACTTGTATTCCTTGCAATTTGGTACCAGAGCTGGTCCGTGATCTCCACTTACCTGGCACCCGCGACATTGTTACTTGGTGCGCTGATGATGCTTCATGTGCAGTAAGGATACTTTGGCGCTGGTTTGTATAAGCGGGGCCTAGGTAGAGAGGCTGGCTGCTGGAAGGCGGTGGCGACAGCGTGGGAGCTGTGGCGACAGCGTATGTATGTATGATGATGAGTATGCTGACGTGGCATTTTGGCTGAGGTGGCACTGCATTGCGTTGTGGGTGGTACCGAGGCTATTGACCGGTCATCGAAATGCTCGTCGGCCCAATATGGTGAGAAATTTGTGGTTGGGGGAAGCTATCTCCAGGTACGCTGTTCCCATTCCTTATCTACCCTCTCAATCTCTTCTTACCGTGAGGAAGTGAGTCCAACTTGAGTGTCCTCTCTTTGGTAAGGAGTCGTGTGCGCTCTTGAGAGACGACATTCTTCCCGGTGGCGCATCTGGCAGGAGAGGGCGGTGCCTCTGAAGGGCCCTGGTCGAAGCACGGGTCACGGTCACCATGCCAACCCATGGGAGTAGTACATGCAGGCTATGCTGCTTTGTCCATTGAGGCTCTTTGCTGCGCTGATAGAAGGGGTGTGCGGACTGACCAGTCCTAATGCAGACGCTCTCAGACCGTCTATAAATATTTCTGGAACAGACGCTCCCAGACCGTCTATAAACATTTCTGGTTGGGGTCTGATCTGTCCACTGGCCGTGATCGTCGTCCTGATTGGGACGATAAATAATTCCTGAGGACTCTCGGGGGCTGTCCTTAAATTGCCTCTTGATCAGCCAGATCAGTCAGACATAAGGCTCGTTGCACGCGAGGGTAAACAGAGGGCAGGCTGGTCATAAGCATACGCCTTGGGCATAGGGGTGGGCCGTGATTGCACACCTTAGACACCGCAGCTTGATGATGCTCACAGGTACGTTGGATACATCACTATCATACCCATTGTGCATACATCTGCTCACAGTAGTCTATTTTTATTTTGATTAGTTGGTTGACAGACTGCTAACACCTAACATACAGCCTAGAGTAGGACTGTAATCTACCATAGCAGTTCTTCTCAACGCTTCTGAACAGAACTAATCAAGATAAGGAGTAGACTACATGTGTACAGTTTGTGTAGGTGTTGTTGATACCGCTTGACCGGTAGTCTAGGTAACTCGCCGGATATTAATTTATCCTTTTTAGAACCGGTCAGACGCATGCTGCGGTAGGTCCTAGAGAGGACATTAGTGCAGACAGCGTCTGCCTAGCCCATGAGTGGATCGGTGGTGGTGGGGATGCATCTGACGATAGGAGGCAAACACGAAGGGATACCGGTAGGATACCCTTGGTGTTCCAGGTCCTACTACCAAGAGACGAAAGGAGGGTCCTACTACCAGAAGACGAAAGGAGACTAAGGGCCGAAGCTAGGGACTGCGAGAGAAGCAGCAAGAACTGTAGAACGGGCGTTGGCAGCAGTAGCAGCGAGCGCAGTAGCAATGGCTACCTCTGCAACAACATCTGCTGCTACCTCAGCTGGTCAACAGACCAGCTCGCATGTCATCTCCAGTGCGTCCGGAGTTGGCACTAGTCAGATGGCGGGCTTGCAGTACAGCTCGCCGCCTCCACGCACCCGGGAGCAGATGGAGCTCCAACAATTGGAAAGGATTCGCTTAAAGCTAGAGGAGGAACTTAAAAAAGCTACCGACAGGGAGAGAGTAATTAGAAATAGGAGTATCAGAGTAGAGAGCAGAGAGGCAGACAAAGCTGCATTAGAGGGAGTAGATGACTCTACCCTGGACAACAACATGAAGGTTGTCAAGGCAAGCATCTTGTCCATGCACGCATGCATGGACAACAAACATGGACACCCTGAACCTGATCCTGAATGCCATGCAAAGGCCAGGAATCAGGCCAGCAGTTTTGCCACTGCTGCCATTCTCAGCAATGACAGACCCCTATGCCGCTCAGTCAGGATCAACACCAAGCGGTACCACAACAGCAGCCGTATCTCAGACTATTGCTTCTTCATCTTCTGGTCCAGCGACTGGAGCTACACCACAGCCGCCGCCTATCCCGCCAGCGGGACAGCAATTGCCTTGGTACCCCAAGACCCCCCTTAAACCACCTCCAACCTTCTCAGGTGACAAGAAGGATGAGGCTCTCGACACGTGGTTGAGAACGGTGCCAGTGTGGGTAAGGGCAGAGAGGACATTGGTAGAGGAGGAGGTGATAACTGCTGCATCCTACCTAGAGGGTTCAACAACTCGCTGGCTGAATGGATTGGTTGCTTCAAAGGGGTTCGGCAGGAACATGGGTGATTGGGCGCAGACCCACACCCTAGAGAGCTTTATGGATCTAGTGGAAGCACGATGGCGCAACCCTCAGCAGGCACAAATTGCCACTGATGGGTTATTAAAGCTTGACTCTAGAAAGTACAAGTCTGTGTGAGAGCTTACCACAACCGTAGAGCGTCTGATTGTCGTCCCAGCGGTGGAGTACAATCCACAAGTCTTATTGACCATGTTCTTGAGATGTCTTCCCACAGACATCAAGAACTTATTAGCCAGAGAGGCTCATTTAAGAGTATCACACATTTGAGACATTCAACAAGAAGGCCCTAGATTTAGAGGCTACGCTGGGTGGTGCTCAAACCCCCACCACGGACGGAAGAAAGAAGAAGGCTCCACAAGAGTGGAAGAAAAAGGGTAGTCGATTGATGATGGTTGATTCCGAAGGGAATCAAACTGAGATCGATGATGTTTCTGAGCTTGTGGAGAGATCAGAGTTAGACAGCGAGGAGAGTGCTGAGGGTAGCAACCTCGCCGCCGTAGTCAAGACTAAGGCAGGTGGCCGCGACAAAGGCGGTCAGCAAAGGAGTCAGGGACAGGCCGCCAAACTAAACGAAATAGCTGCTTGGGTTAGAGCAGGCTTGGATCAAGAAGTGTGACGGGACCGTTGGCAATGTGGGGCTTGCATAAACTGCGGCGAATATGGCCATCAACAGTTTAAGTGCAAGAACGCGAAGGTCTTGCAGAAGATCCTTCTTAAGGGTGGGTTTCCTTCTTCTCAATCTGGGGCGTCTACGAGCTCCAGCTCGGGAAACACTTAGGCCAGTAGAAGTTGTAGCTTCTTCCACTCTCGTTGAAGCGGGTGATGTACGCTCCCGTTTCAAGAGTTGGCCGAAGCTGTTGACTCCTTAGTCACCCCGCAGACGCATCCGGACCCAACTATACTTTGTACGTTGGATGTGTCTGAAGCCTTAGAGGACCTTCAAGTTGAGTGGTCGGCAAGGGACCCTCGCGAGTCCTTGGTGGCACTGAGTAGAAGTCCTAGAGGGGAGCACTTTGTTGTGGAAGTTGGTGTGGGTGGCCGCAAGTGCGGCGCCTTTGTA